TCAATGAATGATAACAGTAATAATGATTCAATAGTATTTTCTGTCAAAATACGCTCTAATACACTTAAATGAGCTAAAGAGAAACTTGAATGAATGCTCAACGATCTCTCTATGAACATAAATCGTATTGTACAGAAACGACTGAAGCAATCTAAATTAAAAGGTTCCACAATGTATGTTGCAACATGATTCTTGCACTGTTAGAGTTGAAAATGTGAATAAACTACATAGAAAATCTAAATAGAAATCGGCTGAGTGTCTAAACGACAGTGTTTTGAAAACTCATTTCAGGCATTGAAAGTACTAGTAATGAAATGATAATATGTAATTTACAGGATGCGTATATGGCGGAGCATTGAAATCATGCAAAATAACTTTCATGATTGAGAATTTGTTAGAGATATATGTGGAGTAATGCTTGTCATTGTCCGACGTAATAGAACAAACTAACTCATGCAATTGTCCGATTAAAGTAGATAAACGAACCTTCATTGTCTGACGAAAGAAAATAAAGAGGCATTGATCAATGTTTCACGAAAAAAGATAGACTGACAGCCATTGTGTCTCTACCACATATTCAGAAAAGAGATTGATTTTCTTGTTCTATTGATGCTTATTTATGACTTTTTGACATAAAATATTAAAATATATGAAATCAAAGAGTACATTTCTGAAATAGTGTTTAAAAAAAGCGAGCAAATTTGTCTGTTAATCCAGGATGACTAATTTCTCTTCAGTAAACAGCAAATTCTGTAATGCGGGTAAGTATTTAAAAAACTATTGCCCACTAGGTTTTACAATTGCCCATTGCTGCCATCTACTCAACATAATTTAGCTGGTAAATTGCCACCTACGTAAAAAATCCTGGCTATACCACTATGCTATCATGTCGAAGCTTAGAAAGTATTAAAGAAAACCTTCTATTGTATCCAATAGATTTTCAGAATATCTAATAAAAAAGAAAAATTCTGAAAAGCAAGGCGATTTTGCAAACTTAACAAGTGATTTATAGGATTTTAGAGGCCAGTGATAATGTTGGCCATAATGTGTTAAAGATTTTATGCTCGGAATCTTGGAAATTATGTATGTTTTAATGTAAATATCCTAAATAAAGTTCCAATTTGAGCACTCTCTTGATGGTTCCAATATTACTTTCGAAGTCTTCAGCCACTGTTCGTAAACTTTTTTGAAGAACGCTGGAATCCAGCATTTTTTTCACCCAATTGATGAGTCATTTTGTAGGGCCAGTTCTGGGTCTTCACAATTTTCGGTTTGACACCAATTGAACTAGTTTGTTTATACCTACGTAGCCAGTGATCAATGGTACTTCGATGAAACCTTATTCGTCAATAATTTTGCAATTTCTGGAGCTTTTTTTTCCATGTTCGTAGTGGAAAATAGTTGCATTTCGTAGACCATCATTCGTAACCATTTAGAAATCAACCAAAAGAAGATAAAAATAGAACAGCCTATCAAAACCGATGTGGGACGTTAATGTCTACTACAGTCATATAAAATAAACTGGTTGTCGCAACAAACGAATAGCAAAGAGAAACTTTTCAAAATATTACAAAAATTTTGCTTTACTCTATAATTGCTAATAACAGTTATACTAAACATTTTTGAAAGAACCTCTTCCAAAACTCAACTCCAGAAAAGTATTAAGGTACCAATAATGTAGAAGTCGAATGGAAACACATCATTGGATAGATTTTGGTACGCTGATCAGTAGTATGTGAGTTTCGATTTTTTCTATTGTCTATGAAGAGAGCAAATTTGAAAATACTTAAAGGGTGTATATTTGGACAAAACTCACTAATTGGAGAAAAATTCAAACATTGTCCCATTTTCATTACCGAAATATTAAAACTATATTTTTTTCTTATTCACCATCTAAATCTTAGTAGAACAGTTATATTTTATCGAATTTAAAGTCAAAGATCTGTCCGATATTGGATGCGCCGAACACGTTTACATAGATCCGCCAATATCTAAAAGTTTGCAAACTTATCTAATTGTTTGTACGAAGTAGAACCTTCGCAACGACGCGCTTTAACATGAATATCTTCGTTATTTCAAGACTTAAAATTTTTGTTTTTATATCACAGAAAAGAGCATCGATTGTTGCATCTAATCATCCAAAAACGAGATCTGTACCTGCTGAAATAATTGAATAGTAATCGGTAGAAAATAATGTATTCATCCTGTTAGCTTTAAATGTGTCTGCCTTAAAGCCAACATTCAGCAAGAAAATGTCCCTAAACTGCACGCATCAGTGCACAACAAGTAAAAATAACAATGAATGGAGAAAAATACTCCCACACCCTAGTTGTGAATGTAGGTGACAATAGATAATAAGTCATATAGATAATTAAATGGTCGATCAATATCGCTTCTTAGAAATATGCTGATGCGTGTTGATAGAGTTCTCATAGCGAGGAGTTTCGCGATGGCTACTTTAGAAATTCTTTCTGTCTTTGATCAGCTGATCGGTCGAAATGAGAATTTTAACATTTAGTGACAGAAAAAGAAGCGCTGTTTCTAGCAGAACATCATGATCGTAAGAAAAAAAGCGATTTCAAATGAATCGTAAAATCGATTGTTCATTTTTTTATGACATATCGAATGTTATTTAGTTTAAAAAGTATCTCTTTTGAGAAGCTATGTTTCTTGACAGTCTGACAGTCAAAATGACTAAATTTTGGATGAAGTTTTGCATGATTTCGCTCTTTAGATCGAAAATTTCCATTTTCTCATTAATAACAGAAAAAGTTCTAAAACTAAATAGGTACTCTTAAAGCCTGACCTCGAGAAAATTCTAATAGAGTAACACAATTGGCTTCATCTCTTCATTCAACAAACTACAATAGATCAGTTTTCAAACTGGGGTACTCGCACACTTTAGTAGGAGTATTTGATATACCCATACCGGACAGATCTTTGACATTAAACTCGATAAAATATGATTGTTATGGCCAGTTTTAGAAAGCGAGTAAGCAAAAAAAATAGGCTTGTATTTATTTGCGCAATAAAAATACTGGAATGGGCAATAATTAAAATACGATTAGCAATAATTTTTGAGCAATAAAAAAAAATTTTATTTGAGTAATTTCATATTATTAAATGTACAATAATTAATTCATTAAGTAGCAGTAGTAATTTCATATTTTAGCAATAAAACAAACAAAGACTACATTATTTTATATGAATTAGAAAAATAAAAAAGTTATTTACAATTGAAAAAAATAAAAATAAAAAAACAATATATTATTGTGGGAGTAAAGCATTTTTTGCTTTAGATAGTCTGCCTCTTTTTCTTTTTATATTTTATTTTGTAAAATTGAAAAAATACATATTTGTATATATAAATAAATTCATATTGCCCTTTGTTAATGGATGGTTGATCTAACACATCAATACTGAGCTACTACTTTACTGGACAAATAGTAATTATATATATATATGAATGAGCTAGGAAAAAACCGAACACCTTAGAAAGAAAGCATGACGAATAAGGAAATATACCTGAACAACATCTAGAGAAGAGAAATATACAGATGAGAGAAAAGAAAGAAGAGAGAAAGAAAACCAAAGATATATGTATATATCGGAGTTGATTTTAAAATTCGGTCTCCTGTTAAAGGCAACTAGTTGAATTTAAAAGGCAATTAGTTGATTTTCAAATATTTTAAAGTCAACTCCGATATGTATATGTGTCGTACTTGTCATCTGTACGACATCGTAGAAAAAAAAGATATATAAGCGAGTCACACTATGACACCATTTTTATATAAAATCTACTTTATATAAAATTTACCTTTAATTTAAAGAAATTATTGCTCATTCAGTATAATTATTGCTGATTCTATATAATTATTGCTCTTTCCGTATAATTATTGCTAAATTTCATTATTGCTCATTTGAATTATTTTATTGCTCAATTAAATATAAGTCAAAAAAATATAGCTTGAAATATTTCGGCAATAAAATTGGTAAGTAATTTGAATGCTTTCCATACAAGTCATTTTTGTTCATTTTTATACTCTTCGAGTATTTTCGAATTTGTTCTCTTATAAAACAATAGAAATAATCGAAATCTACATATTAATGATCAGTATATCAAATTCTATCCAATGGTGTATTAATAAAACCAAAATCATTTCCATACGAATTTTACAATATTAGTATCTTAAAATTCGGATAATCGGAAAAAAGTTAAAATTCGAGAATTTTCCGGCTAATTCATAAGGTCTCATAATACTGTTGTTGTACAAATTCAAATGACTGTATTTTCTTTCAAAAAACAAAACATCACTTTATTAAAACAGAAAAATTTATCCATTTTGTTGATCATTTGATATGTTCTATAATCTAGACTGATCAAAAACTAATTTTTATTAATCTGGAAAAGCGGTATATGAAGATCTAAGAGGAACATTTATATTAATATTCATAATGAACATGGTAGTTAACCTTTAACACAGTTGCTTTCTTTCAATAATATAATTTATCACTTGAAATGATTGTTTCATTCATTGTAAAAGAATTCTGATTGAGTTAACCACTCCAATAATTCAAATCAATTTAGGCGCACAGAACAGAACTATGAATTCATCAACAGAATGTCTCTATGATAATACAGAAAATCTATGTTATGAACTTCTATTAAATCTTTCAAATATATCATATAATAATATTCCCAATCGAAATACTCATTTCCTTCGTTTATCACAAAATTCTTCATCATATTGGATAACAATTACAATTCTTTTCTTTTTTATTAGTTTTGATTTTATAATATTTATTTTAAAAAATATTCTTCTTGTTCATAATTTAAATCGGCAATATATTGAAATAATTGATTTTACCGATGAAAATGAATATCGTTCATTACATAATCAAGAATTTCAATTACGTTATGGTCAACGATCATCTATACATAATGAAAAACCTTATCATTTATATAGATATTTCATAGAATAATTAATTAAAATAAATTTTTATGTTAATATAGGTTTATATATTGAATCACATTGTGCATCAGTTGTATTTAGATTAATATTTGTTAAATTTGAACGAAAATTATTTTCACTTGATAAATGTGCTGATACCAATAATAAGGCTGTACCGGGCATAGCTATAACAAATAATAAAAAGAAAAGACGATCAAGAACTAATGCTACTTGTTGCCATTCTTGTAAACGTTGTTGATTATCAATTTTTAATACATCATTTCCAATTTCACATTCATTATATAATTGTAATGGTAATAACCATTCTGTACGTATATGTGTTTTTATTTGTTGCAAACATTTAAGTATTTCAATAGCCTTTACAAAAAATAAAAAATAAAGAAATATTTAGTTTTATTTTGTTTTGTTTTTTTTTCTTTTACCTGTTGATTAGTTGTTCGAGTCGAAGATGTTACAGAAAAAATATGACATATATTTTTTTCAATACTACTTATACGTCTTGGTTGATTTTCTTCAGAAGATCTTTTTGTTAATATTTGTTTTTTTCTTTGTTTATTTATACTACAATAAACAAATGGACTTAAATAATCAAGTAAAATTATTTTCATATATGTTGGTACACATGCTATATGTGATGTTGATGAATGATGATATAAATATAGAACATAAACGGTCATAATACATGATAGAAAAACTAGAAAAAAATTTGCATTACAAAATAATGTTAATATTGGAGTTTCATCATCAGATTTTGGTATATATTCACTAAATAATTGTAAATAAAAAACTAATGATAATAATATTGTAACATTTAATGTTAATTTTTCACCTGATTGTGGTGGTAATAAAAATGTAAATAATGTTACAAATGAAACAAGTGTAAATGGTAAAATAATTTTCATAAAATAATGTACATAATTACGTTTTAATATTAATGTAAAACGTACAAGACTATAATCAACTTGACCAAAATCAGATACACGTTCATCAGTTATTTCTGTATAAGAATGAATTAATTCCCATTCACCACGTATAAATGAACGAGCTTGAATAGGACGTCGTTGTATAAATTTAATTGAATGACTATCATGTGAACCACTACGAATTATTATTGTACAACGTTGTTGATCAAATGGAAAATATGTTGAACGAACTTTACAGATTGTTTTCCATACATCTTGAAACATAAATCGAACATAACCTGAAAAAAAAAATATTTATTTATTTTGGATTTTTATACAAAATATATTGTTATTCAAGAATAAACAATCCTTTATGATGTCTATGGAGAAATAGAATTTTTATTCAAGATCACTTTTTTTTACCACTTATTCATAGAAAATTCTTTTTGAACTTGAAAAAAAAAACAAACTATAAATGTATACCATTATGTCGAAGAATAACTGCATAATTTTCTCGATTTCGAGAATATTTTCCATCAGCTGAATTGACAATAACAACATCGGGTGTCCATAAATAACCTGGGCCAACTGAAAGTTCAGTTATATTAAAACGACTAATATTCCATGACATATATGGATCACACCATGCACATGTCAATTGAATATTACTTGTTACAACCTAGACATTTAAATCGAATAATATTTCAAAAATATCGAAAATAAAAATAAAAGAAAAACCTGTGCTTTTTCATTGACACTTTCAACTTGAAGTAAAATTAAATTTGTATAAACGTTAGTAATGCCCACTTGAGGACAAACATATTGATCATATCTTCGTTTATGAAATAATAATCGTCGAAGTTCAACTTCATTTGTACTCACATGTAAAAATAATATATTAGTATATAGAAAGATTATAGATATTCCTCGTAGAATATTAAACGATTCAGTTAAATATATCATAGCGTTTTTTTTCTGATTTGAATCAATCTATGAGACAAAAAAATGATAAGAAAAATAGTAAATGATAAAGAAATAAAACTAAATCCTTGAGAATTGATCATCTTTTTATGTAAATTGATCTTATATCGAAGTTGACAAGCAAAACTAGACGTCTTTGCATTTTTATAAATGTCCTACATTTCCTTTTTTTTTTTCCTATCTTTCTTCTGCTAGTCGTAGTCGATTAGAAAACTCTATTAACACGCATTCGTTGTGTCAATTCATTCGATAGTAGCCGACAGCTAAATATGAAATAAGAAAAAGACAGCGCGAGAACATGTTTGTATTGAACATGCACTTATTAGTAAAAAGTCGTTATCTTGTTTTTCTCGTACACATAATATGATGATTGATTCTCCGTTAGCTATTCATATATATATATCGAATGTTATTTCATTAACTGAAACTTATTGTTCTTTTTTTTCTTTCTTTTGTCATATAGAATCGCATCCGTTATTTTTACATCTTATTTTAGTAAAAAAGAAATGTGTTATTCTATCATCAATTTAAAGTTGTTGATGTGAAGAAAAAAAAAAAAAGGAGAAGAAAATGCATGCGAACATACACATAAATGGTTTAATGTTTAGTTTTTGTTTTCTTCTTTTCTCTTTACAAGTAGCCAACAGTAAAGAGAAGAAAAAAAATTGGAAAAACATTTCTCTTTCAAAAATGCAGAATCATATGTATATATGCAATGTCGTAGATGATGTTGCTATGAGATGTTTGTAGGTAAGTAAACATTAGACTGTTTGAAAATAATAACAAACTTGTTGAATGCTCTTTAAAATTAAGTGTAGGTTTTTTTTTGAAATCGTTAGAAAAGAAGAAAACGAAAGAAAGAAAAAAAAAAAAAAGAAAAAAAAGAACAAAACTGGATAAATGGTGACTTTTTAATAAGATGCGTTTTTTTTCCTTTAAATCGAAAGTGACACTAAAATTTGAACATAACAATTCAATGTAAGTACGAATAAAGAAAGAATATCTTGTTACTTGTATGATTCGTATTTGTTCTTTTTCGACACAAATACACTTCGACATTTTTTTGAAAATAAAGAAAGAAAAAAGAATTAGTGTGTAGCTAGATACTTTTTGCTATTGTTTCAATTTTTTGATTCGTTATGTGTTGACATAAACATACACAAGCATAGTCTTCCAAAATAACATTTAAATCTGTACACATCACTTTGTTTTATTAAAACAACAAACGAAAGAGTAAGAAAAAAAAAACGAGAGACAGAAAAAGAAATACGCATATTCTTTTATGCAATTCAAATAAATAATAAAATATTTTCTAATTGACAAACAGTGAGTATAGGTAACTTTAGTACTATTTGACATATTACGAAAAATTTACTTAGTTTGATTATAATTAGAAAGTGATGTCACTTTTTGAACAAACATCTTCACGTCCTGGTTCTCGTTTTGGAAAACTATCATCAAATATGTTCTTTATTCGAAATACTGCTCAACCAAAGCGTGTGCGTCATATTGAAGGTATATTATGCGATTATTTATCATGAGTGCTTTTTTGTTTTTTGTTAATTTATCTAAAATGTTCATTTAGGATTAAATGGAGCATTGATTTGTAATGTAAATGATGATCCATCTGTTATTCAGCCGATGCGTTCTAGTTCACTGAACTTTCCTAGAACCAATTTACCTGCATTTGAAACTCCACGTCGCGTTGAACGACTAGTACCTCCAATGGGTTTTTGGAATACTCATGGCGTTAGTAAGTTTTATTTTTTTGTTTTTTGTTTGATATGTATATGTATATTATTCGTTTCTTTTATTAAAATATTTTTTTTTCCTTAAGTTCATGATACAGAACGTTGGAAACAAGAATTAGCAGCTTTAGCTACAGCTAGTGGACTAGGCTTAGAAAATGATGAACATAAACATTCAAATAAACCATCAACAACAACTGCTGATCAACAACATACATCACGTTCTGGTGCTCATTATTCAACACGTACAGGTCGTTTCAACGAAGGAACTACAAAATCAAGAGGTCGTACAGGTTCTAAACATGCTACAGCATATTCAGAAATGTTATTTAATGTACCTGAAAATGAAAGAGAAATGTGGGTAAGAAAAAAAAATTATCGATAAAGAATTAGTTTTTGTTTATTATACCATTTCAATGGTTTTGGTATAGATCTAAGACGTGAGAGTAAACATCTTACGATAAAATGCCTGTAAGAAAAATTTTATTGACATAATAGAAGACTATGATTTAAAAATGAAATTAAAATAAATTTCACGTAAATAAACAAGTATTTGGTGAGTGTTTAAAACAAAACAATTAAATGATTGTTTAAGTAGTGCAAAAACAAAAACAAAATTTGGAATTTCTATTAGATGAAAAACAGTGGTTTTGAGATATTTTTAGATATAAAGACAAGCTAAGTTTTATATATTTACTATGAATTTAAGAATGAGTTTTATCTCAAGTTTTGTACTCAAATTATATAGTTAATCTATATTAGCTTTGCAATTCAATAAAAAAAAAACAAAAAGAATATACTAATTTCAAAAAAGAGTAGTACTAATGATTAAAAGATAAGCTACTACATAACGAAAGGTCATGAGTATTTTTATGATTACTTTTAGTTTTTCAATTTCTACAGAAAATCAAGATTATTATCATTGAAAAAAAAACAAATCGAATCAATTGCGTAATCTTTGATATATACATACATTTTATACTTCACATCTTTTTATTCTGTGTAAAGATTTAAAAATATGTCATAATGTCCATTAATGAAATCATATTTAAAAAAAGACAATATTTCATGTTGTTTCTTAAGAACTTTTCAATGTATCACTTGACATAAATGGCATTGGTTTTTTTTTTTTTATAAATGAAATATATCGACCTGGCATTGAACTACACTTACGGTCTAATGATAAGACTGTTAAAATAGATTTACTTTTGATAAGTACTTAAAAGAAAAGAAACTATAGTTGATCAAGTATTTTTATAGAAGTGCATTAAGATTACGTATGTAACCTTTCAATAAAATAGATGTTACAAGTTCTTTGTCAACTACTTGGTACAAGTCAATTGGAAGAAGTTCAATCATGGCTTGTTTCGGCTTCAGCAACCGGTATATTTAATCTATACGAATCTATGAAAAATATTTTTATTTAATTATTTCTATAGAAAAAGAACAAGCTCGTCAAATGATTAATTCTGCATTATGTGGATTAAAAGAATCTGAACGTACATCATCTCAAACTCAACAATCTGTCGATCTTAATGCATTATCAAATTTTGTTGAAAAGTATAAAAAAAAAATAGAATTCTAATCAATCATCACTTCTAAATATATAATTTTAATTTGGTTGTTGTTTTTTCTAATTTAGACAAAAAAATGAAGAAAAATATGCTTCTAAGAAATTTATTCAAGATACTCTTAATCGATCTGCACCTGTTTTACCATCAATTGATGAAGAACAACAAACTGAGATTAGTCTCAATGATACATGGGATAGTGGAGAACATAAGAATGATTATTTAAAATCATCATCACAAAATGCAACAACTTATCAACGTGCTTATCAAAATTATAATAAACGATCATATACATCCTGTGATGGAGCATCATCAAATACAAAAAATGATTCATACTATGAAAATAAACAAAATCAAGAACAAAGTGATAATGAAGAACCAATTGAAACAATCCAACTTGATGATGATCGACGACGACCTCGATCAGCATCATTAACAAAAACAAAAATAGAATCAAAAAAACAATCTCAATCACCTATTGAACGACCACCTTCAAGTCATAAACAAAAATATCATATTGAATCTATTGAATTCCATGATGATGATGATCATGATGATGTAAACAAAACAAATGAAAATAAAAATAAATTTCATTCTAATGAAGATGATAATAATGATGAACAACATCAACAAAAAAAAGAAATATTTTCATCATCATCACTTAAAATAAAACCATCTTCAAATCAAAATAATGATAATAAATCACGTAAAATTCGTGAATTACAAAATAAATTATCTCGTCAAGAAGAAGATGCTAAAAAAAAATTTAATGAATTACAATCAAAACAATCACGACTTGAAAATGCACTTAAATTACTTATTAAACAAACTTCATCATATAAAAAACGTCGACAACAAACAAATGATCATGTTGAAGGTAAATCTTCTAGTTTTTATTTATTGAAATTTTTTTGTATTTTTATCGTTTTTAAAATAAAAAAAAAAGATTTAGATACACCTATTGTCAATGTTATCATTCAATCACCAAGAGATACTGATCTTCATGATAAATCAAATGAAACAAATTCATGGGAGAAACATCAGGAACTATCATTTGTTCATGCTAATGAAAAAGCAAAAAAAAATCGACATGATAATAACAATACTAAAATTGGTGATTATACTATTCAAGATGTCAAAGTACAAATTAGTCTTTCTCGTCTAGATAATCAACCAGGCAAAGTCTATTCAGGTGTATGGAAACCTGACGTATCGACACTTCATCGTCTTCAAGGAAATTAGAAGAAACAAAAAAATCAATATCAAGTTATAATATCTATTAATATATATATATATATAAATATAAATGAACATTGATAAAAACTAGTGTAGAAAACAACAAAAAAAAAAATGAAAAGTAAAAGATTTTTCTTTTTATAACATGTAAAATGATTTATTAAGTTGATTTTCTTTTTTTTTTTTTTCTAAAGAATATTCTTCTATTTACCCGAAAGCTTGAAAAAATTAAATATTGACAGGAAAAAAAAAACAAAGAAAAAAAATTTTGTTTTTTTAACCAATCCGATTTCGATATGTAGAAATTAAATAAACGATTTGTGTAACTAATGTAAAACTTGACAATACTAATGCTATTATTTCCAAAGCACTTGACCAATCAAGACGAATGTTATAATTGCTATTAACTTCATTTGTGACATTTGCTTCAAGACTAACTCTTGGCGGAGCTAGAAGAAAAAAACGGAAATGTGTGACATTCAAAATTTTCATATATGAACATACATTGAGCTAAAAGAAAATCTAAATTATAACGATATTGATATAAATCATATCGCATTGTTGTACCAAGTAAAATAAGTGTTGCAAGAATAAATAAAAATCCAATAAATAATAAACATATAGTTAAAACTGCTATATAAATATGAATTTTGTATTTAAATTCATTAATCAATATATGTGAAAAAACTAACAATAAAGATATACCAAGAGTACAAACAGCAATTATTGTACATGCAATAAGACCTTTTGTTATTGATGAATAAGTACACTTATATTGATTGTTGTTCGCATTACAGATAGATTGCATTTCAGGTCTTAATTCGTAATTTGGATCGATTAGGCTTCGACATTTATCATTGTCGTGAAAGCAATATTTATTAGCATTACAAATGCGACCAATTTGATTCAAATTAATGCTCGTGTGTCTATGATGATTTTCACAACGACGAAATATACCAATGTACATTGTTTTATCACTCCGCTGACGATGTTCATATATTCTATAAATTTAATTTTTTTGTTTTAGTTTTTAATTAAAAAGTAAAGATTAAAAGAAAAATAATCTGATATTAATTATTTTAAATAATTATTCATTTCAGTAATGACGTTTAAGTTTAGTTTTATTTTTGAATTTTGCTATAAATCTTTCCATATTATATAGAAAAGAAATACAATTTAGAAATATAAATATTTTGAAAGAATAAATTCTGATCGACCTTGTTTCAGTTAAAAAATATCTTTTTCTTCCAAAAGAAATAACTTCACAATTATAGTCTGATGAAGTCTTACTTGAAATCATTGCTCTGAGTACAAAATAAAAATCAGAAAATTTATAAGACTTCATCAATCTTGAATTTTTGTACTTTTAAGACTTTCAATTTTTTCAACTTGCTATTTTCAAGTATATCTCACAACATATTAAACGAAGTAATGTAATATAGTTACATTTTCATTACATTATAAAAACTTTATTTATCGTTTATATAATTATTCAAAAATCTTAATTATATCCGAATAAAAAATAAAAATACTTACTTCCATCGAGGATGTATCATTGCCACAATATGACAAATTAATGCAATAGTAAGAAGAACTAAAGCAATACTAGTACAGATTAGAGTTGTTTTGATCATAGTCATATCTTAATGATTGATGAACCAATATAGGTCTATAAATAATAACTAGTCAGCAATAAATAAAACCAACAACTTGATTCTTTCAATAGGTTATTGTACAATGAAAGTAATCGATTTTATAATATTCATTCTTTTTTTTTTTCGTTTTATACGTTGCCATCATCATATGACAAAGACAACGAAACCAGACACTTTAAACCCATTTTATTATGTCTACTCCGTATAGTAGGTTAGTTGTACAAAAAAGAAACAAAAATATTTTTTTCTTTTATTATTATTTTTTTTCGATATATATTCCATATATTTATTTCATGACTTAAATTTGTTGTTGTTAATATATTAAACGAGTTGAGATCTTTTTTCATTCAATGGTAAAATTATTTTCTATTATTCAATTGTTGACTCATGAATAAAAACCAACGATGTCATTGAGAAGAAGTATCGATTTTGTATTATATATATTTTGAAAAGAAATTTAATACATGTCTCCTTTCGAACATATTCGTAATCTATTCCTTGAAAAAACAAAACAACTATTCGTTCGATCTGTATCAACTGCTTTTTTTTCTGTCTCTTTTGAAATATAAAAAAAAAAAGAAAAAGAAAAATACAAGACTAAATCAACACATATTCAGAAATAAATCTGAATTTATAAGTGGCTCTGTCCATTTTAAATCATATAATGATATACCACTATCAATAATACGTGCAGCACCTAATACTTCATTTTCATCATAGAAAACTGCATACTAAAATAAAGAAATTGAAATAAATTAAAAATTTTTTTAAGTACTATTTTAAAATATTTTACTTGTCCAGGACATATAGAACGTATTGGAATAGGTAATGATACATGTAAAGTATTATTATTTAAAAGTGAAATAATAACAGATAATGGTCGATGTTTATGTTGAAAACGAAAATCACATTGATATTGTCCAGTTTCTTTTAATAATAATGGCATTTCATTAATCCAATATGGAATATCTGTATGAAAAGATTTTGTAAATAATGCTGGATGATTTGTACCAGGTGCCTGATATAAAAACAAAAAAAATATTCAAATAATTAAATTTGAAATTTCTTTCTTTTTTTTACAGCATAAATTATATTTTCAATTGGATCTTTTTTTGCAATAAATAATGGTTTCGATGATGTATAATGTTTATTAATTGGTGTAATACGTTGTCCCATTGTATAACAATGTATACCACAATGTTTTCCAATAATTTCATTTGTTTCAATTAATTTTATATAACCAATATTATCAGGAATAAATTGAGAAATAAAACGAGAAAATTTTCGTTTACCAACAAAACATAAACCCATACCTATTTAAATAAAAATCAAAAAAAAAAGAAAGAAAGAAAGAACCATTTTTATTATAATTTACTTTCATGTTTTCGAGCAATTCTTTCAAGATTCATTTCATTTGCTAAACGTTTTACATCAGATTTCATCATATTGCCTACAGGAAATTCAATGAATGGTAATACTGAATTTTTAAGATGACATAAAAAGAATGATTGATCTTTTATTAAATCATAACCACGCATTAATTTATATTCTATAAAAAATAAAAGAAGAAAATATTTTTCTCTTTTTTTCTTCTATGAAATCAATACTTAATTCCTCGTTCATCTTGTTTTATTTGTGCATAATGTCCTGTTGCTAAATATGTTGTATCCAAACGTTCTTGACAATATTTTAATAATGAATCAAATTTAATATATTTATTACAAAGTATATCGGGATTTGGTGTTAAACCATGTTGATAATCATCAAGAAATAGTTCAAATACTTTTGTCCAATATTCTTTTATAAAATCAACAATATGTAAACGAATATTTAATTGTTTACTAACATAAATAGCATCTTCAAGATCTTGATCATTTGTACATTTTGTTTGACTATCATCATCTTCATGTTTTTCCCAATTTCGCATAAAACAACCGATGACTTCATAACCTTGAAAAAAAAAACGAGAAATAAAGTCGAGTTCAACTATTTTTTAGATACAAAATGTAAAGTAATAAACCTTTTTTCTTTAATAAAGCTGCAGATACCGAACTATCAACACCACCGGACATGGCACAAACGATACGTTTTTTTAGATGTAAATTCATTATATCGATCTACAAAAAAAAAAAGAAAGAAATTTTGAATACTTTTTTTTCTACGTTCAAAGGAACAATATCATAACTAATTAAATAAATCAATTCTAATGTTCTTTATTGAATATGAATGTTATTTCGAAATTATTCTATTATTCTGCTATATTATAACTAAGAGGAAAAAAACGAAAATTTCGTACTTCAGGATTATGTCAAAGGTATCATCTACAATTTCTTGGCTATTGAAAGCCTACTATCAACATATGTCACGAAAAGGTATGTCACGAAAAGGTATGTGACGAAGAGAAAAATATGGAGGACCACAAGGAAATTTTTCGAGAGTTGAAAAGGTGCATGTACAATTTTCTTAAAAGAAATCATAAAATGAAAAAAAGAAAGTTCAGCAGCCCCCAACTTTTTAAAAAATTGTACATACATCTTTTCAACTTTCGAAAAATTTCCTTGTGCTCCTCCCCCACTTTTTTCTCTTCGTCATATCTCTGTCCGTGACAACACGTTGACAGTAGACTCGAAATAGCCAACAAATTCTAGAGAACTACTTTGACTCAAGTGAAAACAGTAGAAACTTCAGTTTTGAAGTCTGCTGTTTCTTCTCCGACTTTGACATATCCTCGGTGTACGGTGAAGTATGGAATTTTTACTTTCTCTTTCTTGATTATAAAAAAATAAGTATTTCATAGATACTTAAATTTCTATTATAAATGTATTAAAAGACTTCATAATCATGATAAATTATCTCTGTGAATTAATTTTACAATAGAATGAATGACTGAGCGTAGAATTACAATAACACCATACAAATTTACATCAGCAGCAATGTTTATTATTATTTTTTTTTTTTCGTTATTAACATATGTTTCTTTTTGATTGTTACTTAACACACAGATATCTACTAGATGTGGTGAAATATACCATGAAAAAAAAAATTTTATTTTTTTTAATGTTGATGTAACTTGTAATAATATTTACTCAGTTAAGTTTAATCAAGAGAAAATAAAGAAAAAACACTTGGAAAAATTGAACTTTGTGTTTCCATCTACTGATTACTATTCTAATTCTTTTTTTTTTCTTTTATGATAATAATGATGATGTAAATAGTTTAGTTTCTTTCTATTCACTTTCTTTTGTTTTTTCTCAGTTTACTTTGTCTTATTTTCTATTTTATTCTTTTATATTAATAAATTTTTTAACATCCCTATTGTTTTTTTCTTTATTCGAGTTGATAAATAAAAAGTTCTTTCTTTTTTTGATATATTTTTTCTTTTGTCAATATCAACAATGGATTCATCAACAACACAAAATCAAAATTCTTTATCAACATCTTATCATTCTGAACCAAATTCACAACAACCTAAAAATGAAAGTTTTACAACTATAATTCGACCAACAATAAAAAATGTTGAAAAATATAAACAAGATTCTCATCAAAGAAACATTTTTGAATCTGATTTTAATAATTTAAATACAAAAAGTCAAGTAACATAATATGAAAAACAAAAATGATTTCCAGCAAAAAATTCTTAATCTTGTTTTTTTTTAGGAACTTATTTTACGTACAGTTGATAAAATAAAAAAAGACGATAGTCAACATGTTTTAAATACATTAGATGAAAGTCGAAATATAATAAGAAGTTCATTTGAAGAATTTAAACGTGAACAAGATGAATGTCGAAGAGAACTTGAAGAAATTTTAAAACATAAAACAACAAAAGAAATCCGTAAAGGTAAAAATATTACATTTTTTTTTTTTACTTTAATGAAAAAAATCTTTTTATTTAAGAAAATGCAATTCCACTTTCAATATTTATGCGAAAAAAACGTGATATCGATGAATTTTCTGATATACGTTCGAGCTCAGGTACAAGTTCAACAGATCAAAATAACCTACAACATCCAACAGATAAGGCTGCTGTTCTTAAATATCTTCGTCGACGTGAAAGACGAAAACGTGCCGAAGAAACTAAAAAAAATAATCAATTATCTGATAATATGTTAGAAAAAGTATTTCATTTAATAAAAATATTATAAAATCATTGGTGTTTTTTATTTCTTTTTCTTTTTTTGTTAATTTTAGTACACAGCAGAACTTATACGAAAAATGGAAGGTGTAGATATTAAATTAAAAAGTGAAAGAGAACGACAAAATGAAATTTTACGTGCTCGTGTAAATGAAAAGAAAATCAAAACAAATAATATTATTCAAACTAATGAAATTATTGGTCAAGCTAATGAAGCCGATTTAGCGTAAATAAAAAAAATAAGTATTTAAAAAAAAACAAAAATTCATTTGTTTTATTTTATAGTCGGCAACGTATTGAAAAAACACATCGAAAAAAAATTGAAACACGTTTATCAGCTGTACGTCATCTACAAAATCGTAATCCAAAAAATATAATTCATGTTCAAGGTAATTTAAATGAAAATGATGATGAAAAATTAAATGACGAACAAATTGAAACAACTAAAAAGTCTATTCAATTATTAAATAATAATGATGAATATCGACAAATACGTTCAACAACAACAACACCAGTTTATGGAAATGGAAATACAAATGATAAAGTTGCGACTATTGACATTTAATTAAACTTTCTATATATATATATAGATAGATAATACTAATTTATAATGATAACATTTTTTTTGTTTCACATCCAAAATGTCACATCAATTGTATCATAAATTTAAAAAAAAAAGAAACATGATGACCTAAAGTATCTAGGCTTGTTCTCGAAATGTGTAGGATAAACTTTTTTGTACTCTGTATTCTAATTGAGAAAAATTTTCTAACCCTTACTTTATCCTAAGAAGTTTTTATCTTATTCTTTCTTAGTCATATCGTAGTTGAAAGACTTAAAAAGTGATAAATAGAAAATTAATATCAACTAGAGATGTACCGGGTAAGTTTTTTTTTTCGTTCTCTGTATTGTGACTGAGAAAAAATTTCTAACCCTTGTCCAGTACAACTCTAATTTCTTATAGAAATGGAAATTATTTATTAGCTCATTTGCTCTTTCTTTAATTATAATATGAATTTTAAAAAAAAAAGGTAGGCTTTTCTTTTAGCAGTGCATGTTAAAAAGATATATAGATGGTTTTTTTTTTAATACTTTACTAACATGATAAGTTATAAAATATATTGATTCGAAACATAATTTTCAAAAAATAAATAAATATCAATTATTGTACTTGAAATTATTAAAATAAAATATAATTGATGATTCATATTATTAATTTATTTTCTTCTTTCATATCATTTTCATTCGACTTCACTTTTTTTTTCTTATTATTATCTACAGTGAAAGAAAAAAAAAAGGTTATATTAATAATCTGTATGTTTAGTGTTTTATTGCTGTTGATTTTTTTTTTCTTTTGTTAACATACACACACAAAAAAAAGGAAGAGAATATACAATGACTGAAGATACAAACAGAAATAAACAAAGAAAAGTTTATTTAACCAGAAAGATCTTCAGCTTGATAAGCAACTTGATCATATAATTCAGCTTTTATCATTCGACCACCAAACCATCGACCATTAAGTGATTCAGCTGATTTTTCTGCTTCTAAAATAGTTTTTATTTTTTTAATATATATATATATATACATATCAATATTAATAAATTATTATTCTACCTTTACTATTTTGAAATTCTACAAAAATTTTCACAATTTGTTCTGCATTATCTTCTTCACCTTGTTTTTCAGTGTAAATAACAACTTTACTAACTTCACCATATTTTGAACATTCTTCTATAAAAACAAAAAAGCAAGATGTTAAAAATCAAAAAACCTTTGAAAAAAATCAAAATATAACCTGTAATTTCTTGTTGTAAATCATCATCAACTTCTTCTGAACTAACCATATTTCTTAATACACATACACGTGAATCAAGTCGACGTTGATTTAATTTTTGCATTAATAAATGTCGTTGTTCACGACCTTATTTTTAAAAAACAAAAAAAAAAAAAAAAAAGAATTTTTATCTCTAGTATAAAAATTATTAAATATACCTTTAACACTAAGCTCTTCTTGTTGAGATAAACTAGCCAATGGATCATCAGTATTTTTTAAATCTGAAACAGTTTTTTGACTGTCAGTTATATCTAAACTATTTGATGATTGATTTCTTGGTAGAACAAGTGAAATTGATGGATATTGCTGTTGTTGTTGCTGTGATGATGGTTGTTGTTGTTGTTGTTGTTGTTGTTGTTGCTGGGATTGTAAATCAAATTTTAATCCAACAGGTATTGGTGGTTCTTCTAATAGAGTAGGTTGAGGAATTGATAATGATGATGGTGGTGGTGGAATAATAACTAGAATTATATTCATTCTTTTAAATATAAATAAGAAAATAAAAAAAAAAACAATGTTTACCTTGAGGAGGTGGAGGTGGTTTTAACGTTTGTTGTGTTGGTGAAGAAGTAGGAAGACTACTAACAAGTGGTGTAGCAAAACTAATTATAAATTTTTCATAAAAAAATTAAAACAAAAAATAAAATTAATGGATCTACTTTGAAAGAATTCCAGGTGAACCAATAATTGATGGTTGGGGAATAACATTTGGTATAGCAGTAGTTGTATTGAGTATAGTAGAAATCACTAAAAATAGAATTGAACAAAATATAAAATTTATCAACATAGAAAAATGATTTTTATACTTGATGTTACAGCGGATGCACCACCATAAGAAGCAGCAGAGAGAGCAGCTGCAACTGTTGTTGGTGCAATAGTACCACCAAGAAAA